CCACCTCGAGGGCGCCCCGCCTTTGCCAACCCAGAACCGAAGTCGACGTGCCCAGCTGGGGGGGGGATGCAAATGCACACTTCCCCGGCCCAGGGCTCCCCCGAGTGAGCCGCAAATTCGCGCTTCCCTGGCCTAGGGCGGCCGCGGTGTAACGCGGCGCCAAAGCGGCCCCCAACGGCCCGAAGACGCCCCAAAAGGCCTCGAAGGACCCCAAAGAATGCCGCACAGCAGTCCGACAACACGAGAGATGTCACATGTCACGCGTCGCCACGTATATCCCTGCTGCGGCAGGGGGGCGGACCTTGCCGCAGGCACTTATAATTTACATGTTAGCGATGTGACTGTGCTCGGCGGCCGTGCCGCCCGCATTTTGGGTGCGCCCCGAACTCTCGCATTGGCAATCCCTTCTGTTTGGTTGCGCCGCTGTGCTTGGATATCGAAAAAGCATTTACCGCTGACGCGGGCACGCGGCACCAGGGACTTCACTTTTCGAACAAGGAGGGTGGACGAGGTAGGACGACGGACGGTGGAGCAGGGAGGCAAAGAGGAACGAGGAATGATGAGGGAAGTGGGAAGGGGCGCTCCCCCGCCCGAGCCGCGGACGCTTTCGACACCATCCAAGGGAAGGAAGAAAGGAAGGGGAACGGAGCAAGGGCGAGGACGACGACGGGAAGCAAACTGTCCCGGGTCCGCATATAGCCACATGTCTGCGATTCGGGTGCGCGCGCTTTCTTCGAGGCACTTCAAGCCGGACCCATACTGAATTCACTGATTCTTCAAAACTGTGTAAGGACTCTGTCCTCTGTTCCCTCTCCTATACAACGGCCTCATAACAGAGGGGCAGTGTATTCCCCCAAACGGCTTCCGACGGCGTCGGACGGGCCAGGAGCCCACCAAGATGGCCGAAGATGGCCTTCAGATGGCCCAAGACGGCCCAAAATGGCCTCCAAGACGGCCCTGGAGCATTCCAAGAGGGCCCCGAGTCGGCCCAGAGGGGCCCCCCAAACGGCTTCCGACGGCGTCGGACGGGCCACGAGCCCACCCAAACGGCTGAAGATAGCCCTGAGATGGCCCAAGACAGCCCAAGAGGCCTCCAAGAGGGCCTCCAGGAAGGGCCGAAAAGGCCCAAATCATTGATTTCCAATTAGTTTTTGAAGGATTTAGTTCGGCCTTTCGACGGCCCGAGACGGCCCAAGTGCCCCCAAAGATCGCCCAAAACAGCCCCAACAGGCCCCCAAGACGGTGCAAGAGGCCTCCAAAACGCTCAAGATGGCCTCCAAGACGGCCCAAGAGCCCTCCAAGAAGGCCCGAAAGGGTCAAAATGGCCTCCAGACGGCCAAGATGACCTTGAAGATGCCCACGTGTTCTCCGAAGGCCTTCCAAACCAATTCGGGGAACACATGGTCCGATAGCTTGGTGGCAGGTCTGGCCTCAATGTTCGGCCATATAGGCGCTTCCAAAAAGGCAGGGGGCGGCGGTGATTCGCCGTAGGCGTCTTCGATCCGCCGCCCCCTGTCGATTCATCGCAGGGGTGCCTGGCGTGCTAAATTTAGGTTTTGGTTCTTTGTCCCCAAAAAACTCCCCCTGGGGCTTCGGCCCGTCCCGCCGGGGTCCCAGAAGGGGCCTCAATCTGGAAAACATCCTCCATGACGGCTCAAGATGGCGCCATGATGGTCACGTTGGCCCAAGATGGCCTCCAAGATAGTTCCGATGGCCTCCAAGTCTGCCCAAGAGCGGAGGAGATGCCTCCAAGTCCGCCCAAGCTCCAAGACGGCCCAAGACGGCCCAAGAGGTACCCAAGAGGCATCCAAAACAGCATAAGAGGCCTCTAAAAGGTCTTCCAGGAGGGCCAAGAGGCCAAAATTATTGATTTTCCATAGGTTTTTCAAGGTTGTTCGTATTTGCTCCTTTTCGGCGCTCCGACGACCCAAGACGGCCCAAGAGGCCCCCAAGATCGCCCCCACAGCGCCCAAGAGGCCTCCAAGATGGCCTCAGGACTGTCCAAGAGGCCCCCAAGACGGCCCCAAGAGGGCGCAAAGATGACCCAAGAGGCCTCCAAGACGCCCAAGATGGCCTCTAAGACGGCCCTGGAGCACCACAAGAGGGCCCCAAGTCGGCCCAGAGGGGCCCCCCAGCAGACGTGCCAGAAACCTACCAAGATGGCCGAAGTTGGCTCGAAGCTGGCCCCTAACGGCCCAAGAGGCCTCCAAGAGGGCCTCCAGGAAGGCCAGAAAAAAGCCAAAGCCCGATACGACCCAATAGCCCCCAAAGAGCGCCCAAAGATCGCCCAATAGGCCTCCAAGATGGCCCCAGAACGGGCCAGGAGGCTTGTAAGACGCCCAAGATGGCCTCCAAGACGGCCCTGGAGCATTCCAAGAGGGCCCCGAGTCGGCCCAGAGGGGCCCCCCAAACGGCTTCCGACGGCGTCGGACGGGCCACGAGCACGGCTGAAGATGGCCCTGAGATGGCCCAAGACGGCCCAAGAGGCCTCCAAGAGGGCCTCCAGGAAGGGCCGAAAAGGCCAAAATCATTCAGTTCCAATGAGTTTTTGAAGGATTGTGGCATTTGCTTTTTGTTCAGCCTTCCGACGGCCCGAGACGGCCCAAGTGCCCCCAAAGATCGCCCAAGACGGCCCCAAGACGGCCCCAAGAGGCCCCCAAGACGGTGCAAGAGGCCTCCAAGACGCTCAAGATGGCCTCCAAGACGGCCCAAGAGCCCTCCAAGACGTCCTCCAAGAAAGCCCGAAAGGGTCAAAATGGCCTCCAGACGGCCAAGATGACCTTGAAGATGCCCACGTGTTCTCCGAAGGCTTTCCAAACCGATTCGGGGAACACATGGTCCGATAGCTTGGCAGGTCTGGCCTCAATGTTCGGCCATATAGGCGCTTCCAAAAAGGCAGGGGGCGGCGGTGATTCGCCATAGGCGTCTTCGATCCGCCGCCCCCTGTGGATTCATCGCAGGGGTGCCTGGCGTGCTGAACCCTCTCGGTTTTGGCTGTGGCTATTTTTCCAAAAAAGAACCCCCCCTGGGGTTTCGGCCCGTCCCGCCGGCCACCCGGTAAGATTGCCAAGAACCTCAATCCTGAACAAAAATCCCCCCCAAAGGCCCAAGATGGCCTCCAAGATGGCCACGTTGGCCCAAGATGGCCCCCAAGATGGTCAAAAATGGCCTCCAAGTCCGCCCAAGATGGTCCAACACGGCTCCAAGAGAGTCCAAGATACCTCCACGTTCGCCCAAGAGGCCTCCAAGACGGCCCAAGACGACCCAAGAGGCCTCCAAGAGGTCCTCAAGGAGGGCCCGAAGAGGCCAAGATCATTGATTTTCCATCGGGTTTTGAAGGATTTTGACAGTTGCTTCTTTTCGGCCTTCCGACGGCTTAAGACGGCCCAAGAGGCCCCAAGATCGCCCCAAGATCAACCACGAGGCCTCCGAGATGGCCCCACGACGGCCCAAGAGGCCCCCAAGACGGCCCCAAGAGGGCCCCAAGACGGGCCAAGAGGCCTCCAAGACGCCCAAGATGGCCTCCAAGACGGCCCCGAAGCTCCCCAAGAGGGCCCAAAGCTGGTTCAGAGAGGCCCCAAAGACGGCTCCCGTCGGCGTCAGACGGGCCAGAAACCCACCAAGATGGCCGAAGTTGGCTCGAAGACGCCCAAGATGGCCTCCAAGACGGCCCTGGATCATTCCAAGAGGGCCCCGAGTCGGCCCAGAGAGGCGCCCCAAACGGCTTCCGATGGCGTCAGACGCCAGGAGCCCACCAAGACTTCCGATGATGGCCCAAGAGGCCTCCAAGAGGGCCTCCAGGAAGGCCCGAAAAGGCCAAAATCATTCAGTTCCCATGAGTTTTTGAAGGATTGTGGCATTTGCTTTTTTGACTGCCCTCCGACGGCCAGAGACGGCCCAAGTAACCACAAAGATCGCCCAAGAGGCGCCCAAGACGGCCCCAAGAGGCCCCCAAGACGGCCCAAGAGTCCTCCAAGACAGCCTTAGAGGCCTCCAAGACGGCCCAAGAGCCCTCCAAGACGTCCTCCAAGAAAGCCCGAAAGGGTCAAAATGGCCTCCAAGCTCCAGACGGCCAAGATGACCTTGAAGATGCCCACGTGTTCCCCGAAGGCTTTCCAAACCGATTCGGGGAACACATGGTCCGATAGCTTGGCAGGTCTGGCCTCAACGTTCGGCCACATAGGCGCTTCCAAAAAGGCAGGGGGCGGCGGTGATTCGCCGTAGGCGTCTTCGACAACGCCAACGTCTCAATATGCGCTGATGATTCCTATCCGCCCCCGCATGACGTTCCCAGATGCGACAGGGCAGCGCCGAGACGCACCGACGCGACTCTGATATATCCTATTATGATCGAAAAGGGGCCGGCGGAAGGTGGCGAAACCCTTACAGATAATCTGATGGTCCTGGAACCCGAAAACGGCAAACGGAAAACCACCGACGCTTCAGAGAAATCAAGACGTCGGATGTCTGGGATACGGGTCTCCGAACGCTTTTCCTGAACCTCCTCCTCCCCCTCCTCCTCTCCCTCGTCCTCCTCCTCCTCCTCCTCCTCCTCCTCCTCCTCGTCCTCCTCCTCCTCCCTCAATTCCTCGCCCTCCTGGTCCTCCTCCTCCTTCTCCTCCTCGTTCTCCTCCTCCTCCTCCTCCTCCTCCTCCTCCTCTTCCTCCTCCTCCTTCTCCTCCTCCTCCTCCTCCTCCTCCTCCTCCTCCCAGGACCTCTCCTGACGCGCGCTCTGGCCAAGATCTCGAGGTGGACCCCGCCTGGCGATGAGGAGGAGTCTCCCGGGCCCCCCCCCAGCGAGGGCGAAAGCTGCCGGACAACCCCCCGTCGCCGACGCTTGGCTGTGCAGTTCTCTCGGGGGCGACCCTACTCCCGCCAATCATCGGTTCTCCTGAAGCGATGGGAGGCGGGGGTAGGGTTCGGATCTCGCCACGCGTTCGACGAACTCCGAGCCCTAACCCCGCCGCCCATCAAGCTGCTTGAAGCGTTGATTGGCGAAGGGTTAGGGTTCGGATCCTGCGGCCGAGTTCTCAGGGCCGGCGGAGCTAGCCGCAAGTGAGGGGCAACGATGGGGGGGGGACTGGCATAAGAAGGGGGTAACATCGACATGGAATCGTTAATACATCACCGATGGATTGGCGATGGGCCCCCGATAGCAAATCCGCACGTTCCTGGGCGGGGTGGAGCTATCAGACCCCCACTGGCGATCAATACGCGATTGGGTGTCGGTGCATCCCCTCCTCCAGTCGGACCTAGGCCAGACGTACATCCCTCAAGAACATGAGACCCTCCGTCGGTCAAGACAAACAGAACATCCCAGGGTACCCTCCCCAGGATTCACAAGAGCATCCAACAAACACGAAGAAAACCAGGGTACAGTCGGGCCGCTGAAAGCGGAACGCTAAATAAGGAACGAAGCCCCTCCTTGGCCCTGTAAGCGTCTCCGTGTCCCAGGAGGGCAAGAAGAACAACACTGGAGGAAACTAAGGAACATCGAGCCCCTTCCGAACCCAAACTGTTCCTTATTTCAGCGTCTTGACTGTACCCTCCCCGAACCGACCTCGATCAGATAGTTACCTCGGTCCGCCTGCATGCAGATGCCCCCCCCCTGTCGACGCCACTGCGCCAGGCCTCTGCACCAGATCCTCGGGCCCGCGCCGTCGGCGAGGAGGCCCCGCGGGGAGCGAGCGCCAGCGGTCAGCGGACGCCCTCGGGGAAGGCGGCGGCGGCAGAGTCGGAGTCGTCCGACTCAGGGGGCGCCTCGGTCGTGGCGGCGGAGAGGTCGGACCTGGGAGGGGCGCCGGGAAGCAGCGCGCAGATCATCGAGGAGGCGGGGGGGCCTGGAGGGAGAAGGCCCCCTGGAGGACGGGGGGCCCTTGGGGGCCGCCAGGGACCGGCCGAGGGCACGAGCGAGTGGTCCATGGGGAGCCCCAGGGTCTACGTTTATGTCGGGCACGTCCTCCCACAAGCGGACTGCGGACGAGAAGTAACAGATGGTTCAGCAATGCCCGGAAATGATCAAGCCTGGTGGAGAAATCGTCCCCGTACTAGTGTGCGACTGTTTCTGAATGTTCCTCCTGTAGAGGGGCATGCCCGACTTACGTCTATCGGGTCGGGCGAAAGGGGGGGATAGCAAAGGGGGGGTTTGAGAATCAGCTCACGTAGCTGATTTTCCCCGCGCCTCCCGGCGCCGGAAGCGGCTATGTATCGAGGAATGGGCCCCTCGGTGAGGCCGAAACCAGCTGCATGCAGCAAATTTCGTAACCCCCCCTTTCGCCCGACCCGAGTCTATGGGACCCCGTCCCCTCAGGACCCCCCTTCACGTCATGGCCAAGAGAGAGAGCAGCTGCAGACGCGTCAACCCTCAGAGGTCTGCGCGAACCTCGTGGGGCCGCCGCTGGACCCCCACACCCACACCTCCGGCGCCGCCCTCGGCGAGCTCGAGGGCAGGGCGATCAGCACCGACACAGAAGGTCCGCGCGGACATCCGAAACTTGATGCGCGTGCAAGCTTTTCCTGTCTTCTGGGACCACTCGCTGCCGCTCCTAGGAGGAACAAAAACTATACATTCGCACCGATCCTGGCCAGACCCACCCTGAGCCCAGCATTGGCGCCCCAGCGTGGCCGGGACGGCATATACATATACACCGATCCGGGGCCAACTATTTATCTGGCCAAGAACGGTGTACTCTGAGATCTGGCGTCGCGAGGACAGTTCGACATAGTGAACTATCGCCATAAAAACTCTCGACCCCGTCGCTCTGAGGAAATTCTCGAGTCACATCGATCAGTGAAGGTCCTTTACGCAGAGATCCCGCGGTCTTCAATCATTACCATCCAGACATCGGGTGTCTCGTTTCTCTCAGTACGGGGGCCCTGGAAATCATGACAATTTCCAAAGACCCGAAAACGGTCCCCAGATGCCCACAACATTGAATGTTTCAATGCGTCGGATGCATGTGATCCCGGCCCGAAGACTCGATCCCGGGACTTCTCCTGGGGTGCGCTCGGGCCGGACTTTCGAGGTTGGGACCCAGCCGTTGCGAGGGGGAGCTTCCTAGAGGGCCCAGAACAGATTTTTTTAAAAACATGCAGAACCCTCCGCCCTCGAAGCTTGATCCTCCAACCACGACCCCCATCGTGACTTTCTCACAGCGTGCCACTCCCAGCGAGGGATTCCAAACGCCGAAAGCTTGCAAAAACAGCTCGTCGTCAGTTCTGCCGGGGGAAATCAGAAAAGGCACCGATGCTCCACCGTGCCGATGTGGCACGATACCTAAGATCCGATGTTGCAACAAAAATTGCAACATCGCGAAAATCACGACCGGAGCCCCGGATCCCATATCTCTGCGTCATTTTCCGAACCGTATCGATCTTTGAGGGCCCCGGGGCCCGAAATTGAGCGAAAACGCCCAGTTTGAAAAAATTGCAACGGACCTCAGGGAAGTGGAGGTGTCTCCGGGTCCCTTGCTCAACCTCTTCTTCAACCCTTCTCAATGTTATCTTTATTTGTATATCACAGTATGGGGGGGCCGAACGGTCATTCATTGTCCCTGCGTGCGTGGCTGAATAAATTATAGCCGGAGTGCAGTATCCCCCAACAGGGTTTTTAGACCAACTGCGGTTTCCAAGGTCGATTGCGTGCCCGTCCAGTGCGGGCTGGCATGGCATGTTAAAACATGCCTCCTCCTCCTCCTCCTCCTCCACCTCCTCTTCATCCCGAACGGCATCTCGGAGCCCAGAGTTGCGAGGATGTCTCCAGCGTAACGGGCTGGACCACCTCGCGCGCGGCATCTCGGACCCCAGAGTTGCGACGATGTCTCGGGCGAAACGTGCTGCGAGGAAGTCTCAGGCGAAACGGGCCGGACCACCTCGAGCGCGGCGTCTCAGAGCTCCGAGTTGCGTGGGCCTCCTGGGGCCTCCTGGTGACCTCCTGGGGCTTCCTCCTGGGCCTCCTGTGGCCTCCTGGACCCCACCTGGGGCTTCCTGAAGCCTCTTGGGGCTCCCAGGGGGGTATCTAACATGTGGCCGTCGGGGCCCTCCAAAATGGGGGGGGCACAAGAGCAGGAAAAATCAACGAATCGACACCAGATGTGTACAAACTTGACACGCCTCCTGGGGCCTCCTGGGAGCCTCCTGGGAATCTCCTGCGGACCCCTGGGGCCTGTCCTGGGCGTCCTGCGGCCTCCTGGAGCTCTCTGGGGCCTCCTGGGGCTCCCAGGGTCCCAAGGAAGATGTGAAACATGTGGTCTTCTGGGCCCCAGGGCTGGACCACCTCCTGCGCGGCATCTGGGAGCTCGGAGAAGTGAGAATGTCTTGTGCGAAACGGGCCGGACCAACTTGCGCACGGCATCTCAGATCTCAGAGTTGCAAGGACGTCTCAGGCGAGACGGGCCGGTGTCTCGGGCGAAACGTGCTGCGAGGAAGTCTCAGGCGAAACGGGCCGGACCACCTCGAGCGCGGCGTCTCAGAGCTCCGAGTTGCGGGGGCCTCCTGGTGCCTCCTGGGGCCTCCTGGGGACCTCCTGGGGCTTCCTCCTGGGCCTCCTGTGGCCTTCTGAACTCCACCTGGGGTTTCCTGAAGCCTCTTGGGGCTCCCAGGGGGGATATCTAACCTGTGGCCGCTTGGGCCACAAGAGCAGGAAAAATCAACGAATCGACACCAGATGTGTACAAACTTGACACGTTCTGATGGGGGGCCTCCTGGGGCCTCCTGGGAGCGTCCTGGGAATCTCCTGCGGACCCCTGGGGCCTGTCCTGGGCGTCCTGCGGCCTCCTGGAGCTCTCTGGGGCCTCCTGGGGCTCCCAGGGTCCCAAGGAAGATGTGAAACATGTGGTCTTCTGGGCCCCCAGGCTGGACCACCTCCTGCGCGGCATCTGGGAGCTCAGAGTTGCGAGAATGTCTTGTGCGAAAACAGGCCGGACCACCTTGCGCACGGCATCTCAGAGCTCAGAGTTGCGAGAATGTCTTGTGCGAAACGGGCCGGACCACCTCGCGCAGGGCATCTCAGAGCTCAGAAGTTCGAGGATGTCTCAGGCGGGCTCCCAGGGTCCCAGGGAGGATATGTATCATGTGGTCTTCTGGGCCCCCAGGCTGGACCACCTCTTGCGCGGCATCTGGGAGCTGGACCACCTTGCGCACGGCATCTCAGAGCTCAGAATTGCGAGGATGTCTCAGGCGAGACGGGCCGGACAACCTCGCGCAAGGCATCTCAGAGATCAGAAATTCGAGGATGTCTCAGGCGAAACGGGCCGGACCACCTCTCGCGCGGCATCCGAGGTCAGAGTTTCGAAGATGTCTCAGGCGAAACGGGCTGGACCACCTCGCGCAAGGCATCGCAGAGCTCAGAGTTTCGAGGATGTCTCAGGCGAAACGGCCCGGACCACCTCTCGCACAGCACCTCGGGGCTCAGAGTTTCGAGGATGTATCAAGCGAAACGGCCCGGACCACCTCTCGCGCGGCGTCCCGGAGCGCAACTTTTCGAGGATGTCTCAGGCGAAACGGCCAATCCCGGCCAACTCAGAAACGCGAGTTGTGAGGATGTCTCAAGCGAAACGGCTCGGACCATCAAATGTTTGTGAGGATGTCTCTGCTCCGACTTCCCTCGGCCGGAGTTGGCTTCTATCACAACAGCACCCCGTTCAGCAAGCTGTTTGGGGAAAAATTCGCGGTGAGAGCTCTGCTTGATGCGTTGTTGCTGCTGCTGCTGTTGTTGGTGTTGAATGTGTTATTGTTGTTGTTGTTGCTTGTTGTTGTCGTCGTCCCACCCGCGACCAAGCCGCGACCCGCCCCGCGACCTACCCGCGACCCACCCGCGACCCACCCACGACCCACCCCGCATCCCACCCGCGACCCACCCCGCGACCCATCCGCGACCCACCCGCGACCCACCCGCGACTCACCCCGCGACCCACACGCGACCCACCCCGCGACCTCCCCGCAAAGGAGGAACAAACCACCCGGACCCGACAATTGACGTTTACTAAACAGCCTTTGGCGTTGACTAAACAGCCCTGTCCTGATCGATCCATTCCGTATGTGCGTTTACTAACGGCTTCGCTTGTCGGGGTGATTTTTATTGGGTGGATTTTCTGCCCTCTACACCCGCGACCCACCCGCGACCCAACAGCGACCCAACCGCGACCCACCCGCGACCCAATTGCGACCCACCCGCGACCTACCCAGTGGTTTAACGAAAAAATCGCCGCCTGCGGCTGGCTCGTTGTATAATGTGTGAAACTTTGGCGCCTGCGGCGGGTTTCTCCAGAGTCTCGCAAACTGCCGACGACTCCGCGACCCATGTGCCACCCACCCGCGACCTACCCACATTGGTTTAACGAGAAAATCCGCGCCTGCGGCGGGCTCGTTGGAAACTTTGGCGCCTGCGGCGGGCTTCTCCAGAGTCTCGCAAACTGCCGACGTCTCCACTGCCCCCTCACTATTATCCGCATTTGCGGGGTGGGTCGCGGTTGGGTCGCTGTTGGGTCACGAGTGTAAGGGGCAGAAAATCCACCCAATAAGAATCACCCCGACAGGCGAAGCCGTTAGTAAACGCACATACGGAATGGATCGAACAGGACAGGGCTGTTTAGTCAACGCCAAAGGCTGTTTAATAAACGTCAATTGTCGGGTCCGGGTGGTGTGTTCCTCCTTTGCGGGGAGGTCGCGGGGTGGGTCGCGTGTGGGTCGCGGGGTGGGTCGCGGGTGGGTCGCGGATGGGTCGCGGATGGGTCGCGGGGTGGGCCGCGGGTGGGTCGCGGGGTGGGTCGCGGACGGGTCGCGGGTGGGTCGC